CTTCAATTACTCAAAGCTTCAGTATTCCATCTGGTATTTTCATTGTTCCCTCTTAACCCAACCTTTAACACAGTCTTGACAAAATACTAGAAGCAGGACATATTACACAAAATTAATTCTAAAACATTCCACGCAAAATTTGCACGTCGGCTGTCATCAGAATGATAAAACTCATTAAAAGTTTCTGTGGATCAAAATAATGGTTTATTTTGTAATCCCCTACAGCAACATAATGAAGCAACTGGGATAAATGAGAATATGTCTCAGAGAGTGAGGAGGTGTAACTCGCTACAAACACAGAACATATGAAGTGTTTCAGACACTTACACCTGTAGCAAGAGATCCTTTCGCCATCCTCTCAAAGCCAAGTGCCAGAACACAGTCTGCCAAACCTTAAAATAAAATTTGTGGCCATTTAAAGCACAATGTGATTATAAATGACACTAAGTACTAACAACTATTCAATTATAAGATGTGTACATAAACACCTACCAGCTGCCCTTCCTCCTTCCTTCATTTTTGAAAGGGAGTCAAATTAAACTGAAAAATGATATTGATACAGACATACTGATACTCAGGAATCAGAGATCGCTACAGGATTTGGGTTTATTTTAACTGTTTGCCAGCAATTGTCTTAGGCAAGCAAGCACTTATGTCTCTGCTACAAATACTAGAATAATCATACAGCGATACTATAGTTTTCATTACAGAAACATCAGCATTTAAGTGCAAGAAAGTATCAAAGTCCACAAAGGAACTGCAGAAACAGAAGGAAATGCTCATCTATCAGTTCAAAGCAGTCTGTCACAAGGCATTGCTCTTCCCCTCCCTTCCAAAAATGCCTTAGTCAAACACTTGTGTTAACTTCAAGTTAAAAAAAATAAAATTAAAAGCTAGGCTTTTTAGCAGATTCTTCTCTCCTTTTCCTTTCCTAGAAACAGAGACTATGTGTTACCCAGCTCCAGAGCAAAACAACTCACCTCCTTCTACTAATTGTCTGGCCATGAAGAGAGCAGTGGATCCAGTGGCACAGTTGTTGTTGACATTAACAATGGGAATGCCAGTCAGACCCAACCCGTGGTAGATGGCCCTCTGTCCACAGGTAGAGTCACCTTTAGAGAGAAACACAGCATTAAAGTAAGGTACAAACTCAAACTCCACTCACAAAAAGAAATCCTGCCATATATGTGCAATGCTACCACTTAAACTGTGAACTTGAACTTCTGAACTGTCCCCATGAGTGTGTCTGCCAGGTAACCACAGCAAAGAACCTCAGAAAAAAGGTGAAACTCATCAGATTTTAAAGACAGAAGCTTGTCCTGCTTCTGTGATAAAGTGGCAGAAAGGACTCAGAGGTGCAGCTTGAAAGCTGCTCTAGCTATCACAGCTGACTGACCCTACTCCAGTTGCCATAATACAGCCATTAAGAGAGAAGCAGGAAGAAAGTAAATGCAAAACTCTCTCTACATAGGTTTCCCCATAATAGAAAGCTTATGCATGGGATTCCCCCATACTTTATCCACACAGATGTAGATAAATTTTATCCACAGAGACGTCTGCAACTGTCAAGGATGTCACATCCCAATCAAACATCACTTACCATAAACATAACCCACACACGCCTGCTTCACTGCTGAGTAAGGAATCCCAGCATCAGCTAAAGCTGCTTGGCCTAAAAAACAGTTACAAGTTGAAAAAAAAAAATTAAAATTGAAGAGAAAAAAAAAAAGCAGCTCTCACAAGCATAACAAGCAACCCTAGTTGCTGTAATATGTAGTTGTATGTACAATTCCTGCATTCAAACTAGAAAAAGAGTTGTACAAATTCATTGTTATATGATGCAAATGGTTAATATAGTCTTGTACCTTAATACTCACAAGGACAATTTCACACTGTTTTGAGTTCTGAACAAGTTTCTTTATCAGCAAATTTCATTCAATTGTGTTCCTGCACAAAGGTGGTTCATCCCAATGAAAGTATGTTTTGAATACTATAGCTAAGTATTAAATTATTTAAGGGTCCAATCCAATTTTAAGCCATCCTGCTGCCTTCAGCATTGGAGACAGCGAGCTGGACAGGTCAGTTATGGATTTTCTGAGAGTGGTCTTTTCTTTTTATATACAACTGAACAGCAGTTGTACCTTCATATGTATAATAAAAATATTAACTGTAAGACTTAAAATAAGCATCAGCAATCAAACAAAATGCTTTATTATTAAATTACCTGCTTCCTTAGCCATTTCAGGATAATCAGCACTGTTCTCATTAGGCTTTGAAAACTGACAAGAGGAAACAAAACAAAACCAAAAAACAAATCACAGTGAGATTTAATACCTTTTTTGCTCAAATTGGTATATTTAAAAGCTTTGTATTTAATATTGAAGTCAGCTTTAAATAATGCAAATAATGTAATTTAATTGATCCAAAAGTGTGTGCACAAAACCTTGACAATTCCCAAGTGCTACTGCCAAATCCAGATAAAGTAGGGGCACTTTATGGAAGTTGAGGGCCATTTTTGCTCATTCTTAAAGAAGATCCATGGCTGTGGATATGGACAATAACCCTGTGCAAAGCCTGGAGGTGGGACAGAGAAGAACTGTCATTGTCACTGATTCATCATAATATATCATAATCTTCACTAAGACTTTGATAAATACTTCCCTTCCCCTTTATTTTGTTCTACTCCTATTTGTAACAAGAAAATGCTTGCTTTTTGTACAGAATTTATCATACCTCACCCCTCATCATTGGAGTAGAGATGGCATTTCTATTTTCTTTGCAGTGATTTGTTAGAGTCCACCACAAACACATGTGCTTTGCGTTTTTACATCACTAACAAAAAGTGTCGCTGCTAAAAAAAAGTCTTCATTCTACAAATTATCTGACATTCCCTGTGAGTGTACAAAAGTTAATTTTCTGCCTCCTTGTGCTTTCCTCCCCAACTCCAGCGTTTTGCAACACTGCTGTACTTACTGTAGTGCCTCCTTCCATTAATTTAGTCAGAGAACCTTCATACTGAAGGCCATAAGAAAAATCAGTCAGCGAGTTGATCATTGTAAAAGTCTGTTCCTTTAGCTTTTGCTCCTCTTTGAAAATCATCAAATCATTTAGGTTGGAAAAGACCTTTAAGATCAAGTCCCACCATTACCCCAGAACTGCCAAATCCACCACTAAATGATGGCCTCAGGTGACTCCACCACTGCCCTGGGCTGCCCCTTCCTGGGCTTGGCAATTTTTATGGGTGAAGAAATTTTACTTAATCCTAATCCTACTCCTAAACCTCCCCATGGAAACTTGAAGCCATTTCCTTTTGTCCTGTCAGTTGTTACTGGGGAGAAGCGCCCCACACGCACCTGGCTGCAACCCGCTCTCAGGGAGCTGCGGAGGAAACTGTGCTGGCCGCTGAGTGACCGGGTACAGAACTGCCCAGGAGAGGCCCTGAGCCCCTCGGGCAAGGCCAAGCCGCGGGCCAGCGGCTGCGGTGACACTCCGGGGACACTGTGCCCACTGCAGGTCTGTGGTATCGACCCGCTCTGCGGGTTCACCACGTTCCCCTTGGCCGCGCTCCGGCCTCCCCCTCACGCCGGGCGCGGGCGGACTTTGCGCGGCGCCGCTGCCTCCCGGGCCGGCACCGCACGGCTCTGCCCCGCCAGGGCCCGCTGAGGCGGCGCCGGGCGCGGTGAGGGGCTTTCACCCCACGGGGGAGGGAGGGAGGGAGCGGACGGCTCCCCCTGCGTCCCCTCAGCGCCCACAGGGGACACCCGCCGAGCCCAGCCTGGCCCGGGCCGCTCCCCCTCACACACACGGTGCCGGGGAGGGCCGGGGGCGGTACCTTGGTCATCCCGACGCCCACCACGAACACCCGGCGCTGCATGATGGCAGTGGGACCCCCTCCTGCTCCTGCTCCTCCTTGTCCTGCCGCTGCCGCCGCGACCCGCGGGCCCTCAGCGCCACCGAGGGACGGGCAGAGCGACAGAGGCGGGCCAGCGCCGCCACGCCCCTTAAAGGAGCGGAGGACCCGGTGCGGCCCCGGACGGGTTGAACCCGTCCATAGCACAGCCATGGCCATCCCTACAGCCATCCTGGCCTATTCCCCCGAATCTCCCTATCTTGTTGACTCATCAGACGTTTCTCCAAAGTGGAGCTGGAATGACGCAAGTCTCTTCGTGTCCCGAGAAAGGCAACAAAGCTGGGGAAGGGTCTGCAGCGCGTGTTCTATGAGGAGCGGCTGAGGGAGCTGGGGGGGGCTCAGCCTGGAGAAAAGGAGGCTCAGGAGGGACCTTCTCTCTCCCTACAACTCCCTGACAGGAGGGTGGAGCCAGGTGTGGGTCGGTCTCTTCTCCCTTGTAACAAGCAATAAGACGGGAGGACATAGTCTTAAGCTGTGCCAGGGGAGGTATAGGCTGGACATCAGGAAGAATTTCTTCCCAGAAAGGGTGATTAGACATTGGAGTGGGCTGCCCAGGGAAGTGGTGGAGTCACTGTCCCTGGAGGTGTTTAAGGGAAGACTGGACATGGTACTCAGTGATGATTCGTGATGGACTCGATGATCCCAGAGATCTTTTGCAATCCAATTGATTCTGTGATTCTTTTCCTTCAGAGATGTCTTCAGGTCCGTCACTTGAAGGGATCATCCTCTTTTCCTGAAATGCTGGATGGGTTCACGGTGAAAACAACGTCTGACCTTCATCAACCCACTCTTCCAAGAGTCCTTCCCCTTCCCTCACGGTGCCATCCTTGAGGATCTCCACGGCTCCGTCACGGGACAAAAAAGGAGGTCAGCTCTTGCCTTCCACAGATATCCAGGCGGCATCTACCTTGTTTCCCACCGCACGAGTCCTCACTTGTCAGTAACCCTTCCACTCCAGCGGGCTGTCACTGTGTCCCTGACTCCTCTAGGTCCTCCTTAAAGGCGGCCCGTCCCGTGCCGTGCCCCGCGGCCCCAGAGCGGCCCCAGAGCGGCCATGCTGCGGCTGGGCCGGGCGGTGCCCGCCGCGCTGCGCGGGGCCCGCCGAGGGACCCCCGCGGCCCAACCCCGCCGGGGCGCGGAGGTGCTGGTGGGCTCGGCCGGCGGCGACAGCGGCGGTGAGTGCCCGGGGACCGGCGCGGTGACCCGGTGCTGCAGGGAGGGCGGGGGTTGAAGCCAGGTCGTCCGTCGTATCTTAGCTTTCAGTTATGCCTTGTTTCCGAGAACGCCCCTGCCAAATGAACAGCTAGATGCATGTTCTTAAGTTACGTGTGCAGGAGAGCTCAGCACAGGAAGTTCTGGTTTGCATACCTTAGATTTTTCTGACATCAGCAATGTACAGCGCTAAAGGTAGGACAGGACTTGGGCATGTCTGTGCACAGTTATGCATGAGAGCCAGTAAACAGTTTGAGTTTTGGTTCAGATTGCCAATGGATTTACTTTCTTTGTAACTATTGCAAGAGCTCCTAAACACCTCTTGGTAGTTTTGCTGGTTACATACCCGTGAACAGTTCCCACAGCTGTGTCTTTTGCTGCTGCTGCTGTCACCTGTGTCTGGTTCAGTAGCTGGCCCCTGGCACAGGCAAAGGAATACACACGTGCAAGGTACAGCTGTGCACCTACAGCAGCAGCAACAGCAGCTTAGAACGTTCGTGCCTGGGAAGTGAGCAGAAGTCCAGCCAAGGAAACAGGATAGATCTTTTTTTCTTTCCAAAGCACACAGAAGCCATTGGATAATAATTTACAAGTCACAAGTGCAAGGGAGAAGTAGATATATATTTTGGCCTTATTTTTCTGCCTGGACTTAGGAACTTTTAGTGGAGTCTTTTCCACTGATGAGCTTATTAAGTTTAAATAAAATGGAGCTGCAGTTCCCTAGTGGTTCTGGAACATGAACTGAGAGTGACCAGTCTGTGCTGTTCTCATGCCAACAGCAATCCCAAGAGAATTTTTTTCATTAAAGAAATGTACTTGAACATAGTAAGACTGTACAATAAGAACTAAATTAAGTAACATTCAAAAGAGAAATCTAAGATGGATCGTTTGGGTTTTGGTTTGTTGGGTTTTTTTCCCCATTTCTGCAGTGATTCTAAGACATATGTTCTTGGATGTTGTGTTGATTTTTCAAAGTCTAATAGTATTTACAGTGCTGCTGAATTTTACAGTTTTTCTGCATAATTGGGTTTTGTAGACATGGTGTGCCACCTCTACTTTTCAAATAACTGATTGGTTTAGAAAATACTTTACATGCATTTTCAGGGAAGAGCAGATGCAGCACATGCAGATATTGTTCCCAGTTGAATTACTGTGTCAGAGAACTAAATGAAGTATAACTGAAATTGTCTCCTATTACCAAGGTATTGCTGAAATCCTAATGAACCGACCCCACGCGAGAAATTCACTGGGAAAAGTATTTGTAAACGAAGTGAGTATGGGCCTGGCCTGTAAGTGTGTTTGGAATTGTGATCAATAACCAACTGCAGTAAGAATAGTTGTAGGAAATGTAAAACAAAATCTTATCCCTTGCTGAAGGTCAGTGGGAGATGGCACCAGGGCAAGGCAGGTTAGCCTGGAGAAAAAGGGATTGTGATAGTTACTGCAGTATCTCAGATGTGGACTGGACAGAGATACTGGAGTTATTGAAGTTAGCTAATTTAATTTAATTAAACTCAGATGCAAGTTAATGTCCTTACTTGTGTAATTACAACAAAAACATACTCATTGTCACACCTTAGCAGGTGATCTGTTCAAGAATAATACATCCTCGAGAAAGTCCAGCTCATGCCTTGACAGAAAAGGGAATGAGTTTAAGGTACAGCAAAGGTTCATCTCTGAGTGGAAGGAAAAAAGAGATGGGGAAACACATCATTCTGAGGCTGTCACGGAAAGATCCTGCTGGTTCCACTTACATGATTTCCAGAAATATCCTGGCACCTGCAGGGCAAAAAGAAAACCCTTGTATCATATATTAGGAGCTTGCTCTAATTTATGCCTGAAGTTTTTCCCCCCTTGTCTGCCCTCCCTCCCTCGTAGCTGTTCAGTGCCCTGGAGCAGCTCCGCTTCGATGAGAAGGTGCGTGTGGTGGTGTTCAAGAGCCAGGTGAAAGGTGTGTTTTGTGCAGGTGAGTAACAAAGGCTCTGCAAACTGTGCTCAAAAAACATGATGGCTCTTGGGACTGTGATCAGATCAAGCAGAAAATGTGTGCTAAAAGAAAAATAGGCAATTTTTTTGTGTGGCAAATAACAACCACATTGTTCTCTCAGCTGTCTGTCTCTTGGCTTCCATGATGAAGATGTGTGTGACAGAGTGAGCCACACAGGCTGCATGGTGCCACTATTTGTTTTCCATTTCTTCAAGCACAGCTGCTCTGGTATTGGAGTTCTTCTTTCCAGTTTTATGGATTGTCATCCTTACATACAGTGGTTGGTGTTCCTCTGTGGAAAGGGCACAGAGGAGCAGCCCCCATTGCTGCAGCCCAAGTGTCCACACTCTGACCTCCCCCGACCTTACTTAACCTCTACAGAATGCTGTAGTTCAAAACTTCTGAAATGAAATGGTCTGTCCTCTGAGAGGGACAGGAGGGAACACAGTTTGGATGGCTTTTCCTGGATTCTAACCTTTCTCTCTGTTATTTAGGAGCAGACTTAAAGGAACGTGCACAGATGGATGATGCAGAAGTTGGACTGTTTGTTAGAAGGCTGAGAAATCTCATGGATGAAATAGGTAAAGGATTATTTCAGTTGGAAAAGTTATCCCAGACTACCTGTAGTGAAACATGCTGTAGGAGGGGACAACCAGCAGGTTATCCATGTAGGAGTTGCTTCCCAAATTACTCCAGCTTATGCCTGAAACAAAGATCTGGTAAAATACTAACTCTCCTGCTGCCACTCCCAGGACAAGATGCATTTCAGTACTGCCTTACCCACAACATGAGCAGTGCACACACATGGGTGTAATAAATAAAATACCTGCTATGGCAAAGCATTTATATCCAGTTCTGTGGAATCCTAGGGAGGCAGTGCTAGACAACGTGAGCTGTGCTGGTTGTCCCACTTCCAGTACATGCTCTGAAACTCTCAGGATATGGCAGTGCCCTAACAACATGGATTTGAATCTCTGAATGGATTTGCTAAATGGATTTGTGGAATGTTTGGGTTTGTATCTACAACTCCTCCACTCCTTTTTTTTTTTTTCTGAAAGGAATACGGACTCATGCAATTGATTTTCTTCCCCTATTTATGAATTATTCTGCTCTCACTAGAGAGAAAAACCAAAGTGAAAGCTGACTAAAATACCAATCAGAGTTGCAGTAATTAAAAAACCCCCAGGAGCAGTCAGGGAGGGGTGGTTATAGCACAGAAGTAGCACATGTCTGAAGTTTGCATCCAGCTCCCAGAATATTTGGAAAGGTATCAAGCAGATAATCTCCAGATACATCACGTTGCTCAACTGTGAGGTAACAACAGTGTTTACCAAGTTCAGGAGCCTTGGCTGACAAAAACACCAGAAAAACTGATCCTTGTGACAGTGACTTGGGGTGGCTTCTTTGCCCTGACTGTTGAGCTGCACCAGCTGGACATTGATGTGATCAGTTTGCAAGGAGACAGTTCACCCTGCTTTGTGTTGCAGTAGAAAATGAATTCTTGGGCAATTTTGGACTAAAAGCTTTAGAGTTTAAGGATTCAAATTCCAGAAGAGAACTTCTGGGACACAAGTGCGTAACCTGTGCTGTGCTCTGCAGCTGCCCTGCCTGTGCCCACGATCGCTGCCATCGATGGCTACGCGCTGGGAGGGGGACTAGAACTGGCCTTGGCCTGTGACCTTCGAGTGGCAGGTTGGTGTTGCTCCATGTAGGAATCGTCCTGCAATCAGTGACTATATTTTGAAGAGAACTTACGTGCTTGAGAATGGACTGTTGATAGAATCCAGAAGTTTGAGAGGAACTTAAAACAGTTCAGGAAATGAGGAAGCATTTGTTCAGAAATTGTGACGTTTAGTTACTATTGGAAAAGCAGTTTCCATGCTTAAAAAGTAAAGCCTATTTTTAGGTAAGATTAGGATTCCTTTAGAAAACTTTATTAGTAAAATTAAGCAGTTATTGGAATGTAATTCTGGATCAGCACTCTGGCTAGATCTAACCTTCCCAATTTAAATCAGTTTGGACTGGAAGATTTCCTTTTTCTGTTTCTGTGCTTCCATCCATTACGTTTTATCTAGTATGGACATAAGATTCCTTGTTCTAGATAAAACTGCTACATTGGGCTAAGCAGCCATACCACACATCCCCCATGGCACTTGAGATGGACATTGGTGAAACACTGTAGTACTCACTTTCTGGCTACTTGGAGAAATGGAGTTCCAGTTCAGTATTGCCAGTTTGTAGTTTTATCAATCAGTTCAGTATGGAAAACTTGTAGTTATACAAATCAAAAAGTAACTAACCCTGCATTTATTTTTTTAATAGCTTCATCAGCTAAAATGGGCCTTATTGAGACCACACGAGGACTTCTTCCTGGAGCAGGTGACCTGCACTCAATCTTCAGTCACACTTTCTCAGCTGTACAGTAAATATTTTGCCATTAGAGCACTTTAAGTGTTTTGGATGTAAATTAGAAGTAGCATCTCACAGTGATGCAGGAGATCTATGAATCAAGAGTTCTGCCCCAAACCCTGTCTCAGACTTACTCTGAATTTAGGAAAGTCCCTTTACACCTTTTCTTGTTTATCGAAATACTCAAAAGGGAGCTTTTCAGATGCCTTTCAAAATGTTGACATAGTCAGCTAGTGGTTATATGATGCCTTTATTTTTTAAACCTCCTGGTTTTTTAAGGAGACAGAATACTAGTGGGGCATTTCTCAGAAATGAGAAAAGGTGTTTTCACTGTTATCCTAAGGTGGAACCCAGCGCCTGCCCAGATGTGTTGGAATAGGTCTTGCAAAGGAACTCATTTTCACTGGCAGACAGATTGATGGACAACAGGCCTTCTCCATGGGCTTGGTAAATCACTCAGTGCCACAGAACAGCGAGGGAGATGCAGCTTACCAGAGAGCACTAGCTTTGGCTAAAGAAATCCTTCCCCAGGTAAGTGTGGTGTTTATGTGGGCAACGTAAAGACAGCAAACAACAACTGAAATTCCTTCCTGTGAAATACTGAAGTCTTGGTTCTTCATGTTTAAGTCTCTTAACTGTCCTTTGTGAATACAATTTCTGTAGGAACAAGCATTAACATCCAGCTGATTAACCCACAGGACAGTTTTACCCCCAGCTGCAGTCATGCAGCCCTGCAGGACACACTGAAACCTTTCACCATGTACATATGTGAACTGCAGAAAACACCGATTTTTAATTTTTTTTTTTAAATACTTACTAACTTGCTGCAAATTTTTGTAGACTAGAAGGTCATTTGGAGCTAGGACAATGGCATAACAATTCCTCTATTATGAATGAATGTGGCTTTAATTATTTTAAATGTTTGTTGTAGTTTGATTTCTGTTTTTTTTTAATAAAGGCTCCATTTGCTGTGAAAATGGGAAAACTGGCAATAAACAGAGGAATGGAGGTAATAAATTTTTTTTATAAATATTGAGGTGAATGAAGCAAACGAGCAGCCCTTACAAATTACTACATTAAAAATGATCAGAACAGATGAGTTATAATCCATATTTAGACCAGGCATTTAAAGCCATTGCAGAGGTTTTAAAGATTTTCTTTAAAGATAAAATTAATAGGGCAGAATTTCTCTTCTAGTCACTAACACTGCAGTTCTAATACAGGAGTGAAGGTCACTCTGTACTACAAGTGAATGTTTATTGATTTGAAAACTATGAAGAGCTTTGAGGGCTGTACTTCAGAAAAATCTCACCCTTCCCTCTCATCCCCAGGTCGACATTGCATCAGGGATGGCTATTGAGGGGATGTGCTATGCCCAGGTAGGTTACCTTCAGAATTCATTCCTGAAAGGAACAACTGTATTTTAATTACAGGATGAGCTTTACAAGTGGTTTTGGTTTTGACAAATTAAAAACGATTCCTCCTGTGAGGAATCTTTGTGCCAAGTTTTGAGAGCACGCACCTGTCTTAGCTAATGGAACAATACAGTACATTATTTTATTACAATATAACGTGCCTCTCAGTGTATTTTAAGATGGTAAAGCATTAAGTTTAGGGAAAACTGTTTTCCTATCTAGTTCTACAGTCTTTGTCTGAGATGCTTTGCTTGTGAGTTACTCTAGAACCCAGTCTCTATTTTCCTAATCGCAGAACGTGGAAGTTGGGACTTAATGTATTGACAGAAAAGCAATCTTAGTCTTACACCACTACTGCCAAATTAGCCAGGACTTAAAAGCACATCTACTTGTCAGTGGAAAACATACCATTTGCTTTGCTTTTCTTTTTAATATAGAATATTCCCACAAGAGACCGTCAGGAAGGGATGGCTGCCTTCAGGGAGAAACGACCACCGCGCTTTATCGGCAAATAACACTTTCTAGCTTCCCCTTGATTTTTGGAAAGTAAAGTAGGACTGAAGAGCACCCACTGATTTCTTGGGGATAATTTTTATGACACCATTCTGTGCACTTAACCCCTTGCCTTGGACTGCATTTCTGAATACTCCACTGGATCATTTTTCTGTACTAATCTTCCAATAAAGATTTAACTTTGTACACCTGATCCTTAAAGCACGTACATCTTGAGTCAGTGTTGCTCTCACACAGATGTCAAGTAAGGAATATGGAGAAGCTTTGGCTCACCATAAAGAAATTTAAAAAAAAAAAGGCAGAAAACATGCTGCATCTAAACACTGTTAGGAAAGACAACCACCGAAGAGAAAGACAACTTAGGAAGTGCTTTACTTCCCTAGACTGGAGCTTTCAAGCAAAAGTAAATTAGGAAGCAAATGTGGTTTTAGTAAACACTTTACAGGTTATCAAAATATACTTACTAAGTCTGGCTTACCACATTGGAACTGGCTGTCACTTCGTGCTATGATTGTCTCAAAGCAAACCACAGTTTCACTTGTGCCAGAAAAGTTACCCAAACAATTCTGTGGGTGAGGTCACCTTAACAAATTACACACCTGCAAGTTTTCTATGTAAACATCTGAAAAGATAAAGCAGAGTCAGGATCTTCAGCCTTCACAAAAGATGCTAGAGGTGGGATACAAGAGTTTCAAAGTTGCTTCCAGAATTATTGTCCCCTGGCAGAAACCTTTCTGTAAGTGGCACATACACTTGTAAATTTAGTGGATTTATACCTTGTAGTAATTTATATTTTTCAGCTTGAAAGAATTCTGCTCACAGTTTGCCTGAGGTGTGTGAGAGCAAAAGAAAAAGGGTACAAAAAAAATCGTTCAGAATCTCTCTGCTTGCTGGTTGCAGAACTTCATGAAGTGACACGTCTTCCAGACCTGTGGCCTGATGCCATTATCACCTGCACTTTGTGCTGCAGGGAGCAGTACTTTTTTTCCTGCACAGTTTTAGTTAAGATGCTTCAGCAAGTTCTCCTATTATTAGGAAAAAACAGTACTGTAAGGAGAGTTGTCATCTTTATTTTAAAATCTTATAGCAATTGATTTATATTTATTCTATTAACACCAATTTTGACAAGTTTTGTGTTCCACTTCATGTAATGGAAACTCTATACAAGTCCCATAGCAGACATCTCAGAAGGGTGGGGGGTAAAAGCTTGTAGGCTGTTTTTAATTTTTAAACCACCTTCATAATTCAAAGCTACAGCCAGTTGAATTTCTGTCTGAATTGAGAAAACTGTACATAGCCAGATACACACATGAAATTATAACCAAATTATACTTTTGTACAAAAAACAATGAGAAAACACTGATTAAATTACTGGATGAGCACCTTTTGAAGTTGCTGAAATACACAATGTTATGGAAGATTAGAGGTGATATTTTTATTTGAAGGATTGGAGCTGGGAGAAGGAAGGAGTTAAAAAGAGTAAAATATGGTCATCATGAAGAAGCCATCCCTGCTCATGAGCTACCAAACCTAAGTTTTCTTTTTAAACTCAGTTCCCAAGTATTTACAGAAGTATCTCTGAATATCAATCAGTGGCCATGGAAATACAGAGACTAAGCAGATAAACAAAAACAATACCTGAAATTAAATTGAATTTGAATGGACATGCAGTTTGCTTCCATCACTTGCATTGTATCAGGCATCTGTATGCTGTGCAATATGTTTCATTGGACACATCATTTGTAACCCATAGGTAACCAAGAAAGGAACAAGCTGTTACAATTAGCATCTTCATGTAAAATTTCACACTCCACAAAGCAATGCCATTGACACAGGGTTTACATAGAACACTGGGTGTATTTTACACTCACTGCCATGACTTGGAAATATAATTCACTGCACAATACTGACTGAATATTTACAGAAAACGAGAGCAATCATTAGTCTCTTATAAATAAGGTGACCAAATATCCTGGGCCTCTGAGGAGTACATGCAATCCCCTTCACGATGAAGTCAAGTCAGTATTTTGCTCTAATGAGCCTTCTCCTTTCCCTATTCCCAAGTATTCTAAAAACAAAAGGTATCACACACAACTAAAAGTAGTCACACAACAACAAAACTCCCTTCTTGTTATAAAGTTTAAAATCTCAAACTTAGTTCATCCTTTTAGTACTGTTTCATTTTAGTCCTGTTTCTACTGCTTTACTTGAGTGGGTTTCCCCTTTCCCTGAACATGATGTGGTCCCCACCTTGCTAAGAGCAGGGAGGACTCTGGAGAAATGAACCACAAAAAGGCATTGTTCCAGCAGTAAGGAAAACAAAAGAACATGGCTTGCAGGCAAAAGGAAAAGGAAGCTGAAGACCTCATTTGTGTCTAGAAGGGTTATGAGACAATGGACATTTTGGTCGCCTTAGTTACAAGTCTCACTGTAACCTGCATGCACGGACTTGTGGTTTAGTCTGGAGGAGTGTTGGATCTCACAACCACACACAGTTCTATTCAAACACCAAACTGGTGAACAGTGTTATGAAGAGCAATCACAGGGATGGAATAACTTTTTCTCCCAGGAGTCACAAAACAGGATATTCCTTCAAGTCTTGTTTTCAGATGTGCACATTGATCTGTACAAGTCCCATCTCCTGGTAGGCAGCACTAACCCCACCTTATGACCAGCTCAAGCCTGACCCTTGACAAGTCACACACGTGGTTGCCATCAAAGCTGATGTTCAGCAAAGGTTTCCACACATGGTTTTGGGTACCACAGTTACTGGCAAATCACTTTAATGGTGACCAATATATTACAAATTACTCCAGCTACACACACATCAGAAGGGATTATTACAGAGACAATACTTTACACTCCTCTACCTGCAGCTTTCAGTTTGGTTTGGTCTGTTGCTGTTTCCTACACGGTGGGGGTCTCCCGTGACGCATAATGTGTTTTTCTAAACTGTCCAGGATGGCAATGGCAATCCTTTGGACATGGGGATCAGTCTGGACGTTTTCCTTGATGTTGTACAAATGCTGTAAACCCCCTTCTTCAATTAACATGCTGCAGTATCTGGCAGCTGTAACGAGATTATAAAAAGGGAATTAAAAACAGAATTATCTAGGGTAAAGGTAGCAGATACTGTAAACACTCATTGGAATCCATTTTTGTCTCCAGGCAACATTTAGGACACTCCCTAAAGTGTCCACAGAAGTGCACTGGTACTTAAGCAAGTGACAACACAACAAGAGTTACTTGGACAGGACTCAGATTGTAATGAGGTCTGTTACCAAGCCTGTCTCAGCTGACTGGAAAGTGCCCTGTAATGTGCACAGGATCCTCTCTTTCCTCCACCTCCTCTGCAGGCATTTTAAGTGTACACATACAGACTATAAGAAACAGAAATAAGAAGTACTGTAGTGTCTATGAGTATCCAGGTAAAAGTAGTACCTTTGCCAAAAACCTCAGTACAGAACAGTTACCAAAAAATGGTGTCAGATATACCACACCATCTGTACAGGCTTGTGGAATGAATACGAACTAGTTCCTTCAAATACACTTTGCCAAATGCTATTGATGGTGGCCTTTAGCAACAAGTTGCTACAAATGCCTTTCCAGGGTTTCTTCCATTTTCACTGTTGATTTCAAAAAGTTGAAATTGCACCTCCAGCAGCTCTGGTGTCACTGAGAGCAGGGAAGAACTATAAAAAGAGCTGCATGGTGAATGTAATGTGCAGGCTCCAGGGGTTGTTATGGAAAGGTCAGGATGACTGTAATGCAATCCACAGGCCTCAGCCAGGCCCAACGTCCCCATTCATCTCCATGATGCAACACCGGAGTTGTTTAAGTGCTGACGTTCAGCATTTCACTGGGGATCACATTTACTGCAGTGTTACTAACATTTTAGTGAAGTTAGCTCATTGAGGGGAATATGATATAGGCAAACAGCAAAAGGAGAAAAATAAACAAGAAAAAATTTAAAAAACCTCATTAATTCCAGGTTACTTTCCAGCCTCATCTATAAGAGTGGGTCAAAATAAAATGCATCTCCTCTCCAGGAGAAAAAGCCTCCTTGGAGACAAGCACCAACAGCTGAACATTTTCCCCCAAAATAAATCTACATATTTCAGAATTAAACACATTTTCCCTCAGAGTAGGTTATTACATTTGCTACCAAACATTTGGCTTCTCTGCAGCTTTGTGCAGAAGCTTCTGGCATCAACTACCATCAGAACTAAACTTCAGGAACTGCCTTGATCTCAAATCAGGAGTATGCCAATACAAACCCCTGTGGCATGTTGAAAGCTCAGAGGTTAGGGCAGCACAAAATAAACACTACAAATAAATAGAACAAATAGGACAGTACCAAGTTAACAGGACTAAAAGGACAGAGAGAAATGACAGGGTCTTAATCAAAATCTGTTATCCAGAGTCTGACCAGTAAAACAGCTCTGTCAGAACAATCCTACTTCAACAGGAAGAGCCCTCTCAGATTTCTGGGCAGCACCCTGGGAACAGTAGCTCATTATATTTATGAGCTCTATAAAGAGCAGCAAACAGTATTCTGTGTGCAGTTATATATTTTGCCATCTTATTGGTTAGTCCTGAATAGATGCCTTATCACTGCAGAAATAGTGATTTATGCGACAGGGATAAACAAGCCTTGATATATTGCTGTCAAGAAGATTAAAAATTGGCACAGAAAACACTTTTAATAGTTTAGAGGAAAGCTGCTTTATATACACACATTCATGTCAAAAATTTATGTCAAAAAACCAACCAAAAACCCCAGCATTAAAAGCCAGGAACGTTTGTCCACTCTTACATTTAGATATGGTTGGGAGATTTATTTCCTTTCCCAACACTTTTATCAAATGCTCTCAAATCATTTTACAAACTAGACATTGGTGTTCCCATTTTGTAGATGGGAAGGATGGATTAAGGAACTGATCTTTCTGTCCCAGCAAGTTACTGCAAAAGGTGATTAGGGCAGGATTACCCAGCATTTCTGCTCCCACAGTGAGACACTGACACCTGCTATGGTCATTGTTCTTAACTTAAAAGAAATCTGTTGCCCATTACTAATAGTTATATTTCTGAATAAAAACACCTGTGCAAGCAAAAAAATGTAGTTAATCTTAATACATCCACATTTTGGAATTAATATTATGCACCTAACAGTAAAATTCTAGTAAATAAAAA